TCGACATATCGAGCAAGGTGTCGCATAGGGCGAATAGGGTGGACCAAAACTTCGCCGTGAACCGCGGGTCGCGGTCCGAAACGATGGAGCGAGACAGGCCGAATCGACAGAAAACGTGGTCGAAAAAGAGGCCAGCGGCATCCGCACCGCTCAGCGTGTCCCAGACGGGGATGGCAATAACGTGCTTCGACGCTCGGTCGACACAAACCATATTGCCGGTGTTGCCGAGGGCGTCGCGCGGCAGGCCAAACATGAAATCCATGCGACGGACGACCAAAGTTCGTCAGGAATAGGCAGAGGTTGGAGCGGAGCCCGAGAGGAGACGGTGATCTTAGTGTGCTGGCAAGAGCGACGTAGCGCACAACGGATTTGTACATGCGGGGTCACCAGAATGAACGCGCCAGGACGGCGTGCATTTTGTCGCGGCCGAAATGGCTGCCGCTGGGGGAATCATGGTAGGATCGAAGGAGAGTGAGGGACAGCTGCGCGTCACCGGGCACAACAATGCGCGGCGGCGAATCCGCGGTGGGTTGAAACATCAAAAGCCCATCGGCGAGGGCGAAGCGATGTAAGGCCGACGAAGCGCGGCGAGGTTTGGGGGAAACGGGGTCGGTGAGCGCCACCAGGCGCGACGAGCAGTCAGCGTCAAAGGGGTACGCCGCACGAATTCGATCGTGAAGACCCGATGTTAAAAGACCGATCGTGGTCAGTTCGAGATCAGGACGCCGAGATAGGGCGTCGGCCAGGATATTGTCCTTCCCGGGCTTGTACTGAACCGAAAATCTGAATTCGAAGAAGAACGAAATCCAGCGCGCCATGTGCTGCGAAAGGTGCGGTGTCTTCGTCACCGTACGTAAGGACGCATGATCGGTGTAAACCACGAAGGGTTTACCGCCGAGGAGGTAGATGCGGAACTTGGTTAGGGCGTACTTCATGGAGAGAAGTTCCAAGTCGTGGACTTGGTATACCTGCTCAGCCGCGTGAAGTTGGCGGCTTTGGTAGGAAACCGGGCGAGGGCGACCGGAGGCGTCGAGCTGCATCAGGCAGCAGCCAAATGTAACTGCGAGGCGTCGCAGACGACGGAGAAAGGTTTGTCGAAGTCCGGGGGCGCCAAGATCGGGGCGCGTTGAAGGTTGGTTTTGAGGCCGTCGAAAGCCTCCTGACAAGCGGTGTCCCAAACCCAAGGGGCGTCCTTGAGGAGAAGCCGAAACAACGGCTGGGCGATGTCCGCAAAGTTTTGCGAGTATTTGTGCAGGTACGTCGCAAGACCCAACCAGTGACGAAGATCCTTGACGGAGGAGGGAATAGGCCTCTCCGAAATGGCCTTGATCTTTTCGGGATCAGCCCGACATCCATTCACCCCACCAAATCTCCCAGGACCGGGATATTCGCCAACGCCAAATATGCATTTGGCGAGGTTGGCATAGAGTCCGTTGGCACGGAGGACTTCAAGCACCTTGCGGAGGTGGCCGCGGTGAACGTCAAGACCAGACTGCGCGGAGGAAGCGTAACTGTGAACGTAAATGTCGTCGAAATACGACGGGGCGAAGACGCGAAACGCGCGGAACTTCGCGGTAACCATGCGGTTGAACATCGCCGGGGCGTTGGATAGACCTTGTGGCATGACCAGCCACTCCCATAACATGCCACTCGGCATAGAAACCGCCGTTTTCGGGACGTCACATAGACGCATCAAGATCAGGTAAAAGCCATCGCGAAGGTCGATGGTGGAGAATCGATAATAACGTCCTTGCGAGGAATCGGCGTCTGAGCCGGAATTGTGGATGCGTTCAATTTGTTAAAGGCGTGTACAATACGCCATTTCCCACCGGGCTTCTTTACATAGAAGGTCGGGCTGCTGTGAGGGGAAATGCTCTCGCGGACGTAACCCGCCGCCTTGCGGGCCGCGAAGAATGCGTCGATGGCATCGACTTGGTCACGAGGAAGCGGTCATTGCCGAGTGACACAATACTTTGCGCCGGGCACGAGGTCAATCTCGTGTTGAATGCCCTTGTCGAATGGGAGTCGACACGGCACCTCATGGGGGAAGACGTCCTCAAATTCTTGGAGGAGGTCGTAATAGGGGTTGGATCGCAGGGAGTCCCACGTCTGGGACTTCAAAGGAGCGGTGAGGACCGAGTCATCTGCGGTCGAGGTCGAAAAGAGATCCGTCTCTTCTTCGACAGTGATCATCGCCAAGGCGGCGATATCGTGGGCGCGGAGAGATTCCACGAGCGAGTGGAAGGTCATCTCTGGCAGTGCCAGGATCTCGGAAGACGTTCGAGGGAGTTCGTTCAAGTTACACGTTTCTTCGATAAACGTGGCCGCCAAGGTCGAGGCAGCTATCGGGGGCGATAATGGAGCCTCACCGATAACAACAGAGGGCGACTATGTTGGGGGCACGAAAGGGGTGTTGTGCATCACCGTGGTTGGGTCCGTTGGGGCCGCGGGCGCTGGGGCCAATGAGCGCACTGCGGGGCTAGGAGAGACGAGATCATTACCCATCGCCTCTAACGGAGGACCAAGCGGGTTGGTGGTGGACGGGGGAAGGCGATCGGCAGCCCGCCGATGAATCCAGGGTTGGCTCGCATTGAGCCAAGTAACCTTGTGCACGGATTTGGCCTTCAAGTCAATCCATGGCTAGTGGGACTCCAGCCAGGACATCCTGATGATGAGATCCCATCTCTCATCGAGGTCGATAACATAGAACGGTTCGACCGACTCGAAACCGTCGAAGGTGATGGGAACGTCGACGATTATGCGTGGCTGAGACGCAGTGTGGCCGTCGGCCATCTGAACGCGAACCCTGTTGAAGGGATCCGAAGAGGGTAAGCGGTTGAGGCGAGAGAGAGTGGTGCGGCTGGCGTAGTTGTTCGACGTCCCACAATCGATTAAAGCAGAGAGCCTAGCCGGGAAGCCAGGCACGACAAGTTCCAAACAAATCATTTTGTTGGGTTGGAGCCCAACTCGACACGGAAGAAGGTCTGTGTCCGAGGCTAGGTCCTGAGAGTGTGTCAGCACGCCACACACCTCCAAAGGACCTAGGGTGTCCCCAGTAGGTCACCTCGCGCCTACTGGGAGCGACCGTTTCCCACCGCATTCGAGCTCGGAGCGGGGCGGAATGTCGAGCGTGAGCCACCACGGCGTTCACGATTGAAGCGGTTAGGTGGACCGTTCGGAGGGCGACGCGAAGGGGTATCAGGCGTGGCACGGGAGAAACCGTGTGAGGGAGGAGCGGCTGACGCCACACGGCGGGCATGCGCGGGAGAAGTGTCCCGGGCGACCGCAATTGAAACACGTGCGGTCGTCCGATGCCTGGGCAAGCATGGAGACATCCATGTATGACGATGCCGCGCGTGCGTGCACGAAGGAGGAGGAAAATGATTCCGAAAGCGCGATTCGGACGGCTTCTTCGAAGGTGTCCGGGTAGGCGCGAAACAGCTGTGCGCGCCGGGCCTTGGTTGAGACCGTCCATGAAAACGGTCACCCGTAGGGGCTCCGGGAGTGACTCTTCATCGTTGATGTTCGCAGCCAAGAAGCGAAGATCATGGATGAACTCCTGAAGGGGGCGTTTCCCTTGCTTGCAAGCCAGATATTGCGAGCGATAACGAAAGTCGCTGTTGGGTGGCAGGAACATTGCCTTGAGTTCGGTCTCAAAGACCGCGAAAGATGGGAAGCAGTGGTGGTCCGTCAAGCGTTTGGAGAACGCCCAATCTTCCGCACGACCCTTCAAATGAGACATCGCGAAAGCTACGCGGGTGGCGTCGTCGGGGATACGCTGAGCGTCAGCAGCAGTGCTGACTTGTAAAAGCCAGCGGAGGAATTTTGTCAGACTCCGCTCCGCCGAATTTGGCAACTTCCAGCTTGATCGACTTCAGGCGAGAAGACGATGGCGTTTCCGACTCCGAAGCGCGCGTGAGGTGCGCGATCTCATCGTGAGCGATGCGCAGAGAATCTTGGAGGGTGCGACCATGTGACGTCATGGTGGAGGCTTGTTCTTCTAGGGACGCGATTTTTTCGCGAGCGACGCGAAGAGAATCTTCAAGGTTTCGCCCGTGCGAAGACATTTGGGTGACTTGTTCCTCCAATGCTTTCTGGGCGGCCGTAGCTTCGGCGACCGAGAGATCAATCGTGCTACCGATGTCTTCCACAAGGCGTATTTGGTTATCGGGAGTCATCCCGCCAAGGAGTAGCGCGGTATCGTTGTCGCCAAAACCGCGACGCAAAAGGGCGAGGGCCGCCTGATGGGCTGCGGTGTTGGTGAACGACATAATGTTGGTCGACTGGACGAACGTGGAGTGCTACCAGGTGTGGGCGTGCGCAGAGGAAGACGCAGGAGATGGTAGAATCAAGAATGAATTGATAGCGTTAAGACTACTACGCTATCACTAAGCTACGCGCAACCAACCATTGATGTATCGTCGGGAGAACACCTTGGTTGCGCAAGAGGGCATGTTAGTCTGCGAAAAGACACCTTGGACTGAAGAGGTGTCGACTAGTCATCCGGTTAGTAGCCGGATGATGGGCACGGTTACAGTCCTGGTGCCTGCAGCACTTCACTGTACAGTTGCGTTTCAAAATCGGTACAGAAGGAAACAATCCCTTAAACTTAGTTCAATATTATAGTTTGCAGGTCCGGCGATTTTCCGGTGGTTATTATTAAATTATACATGTATTTTCATAAATCGGATTTACTCCGAACAGGCTCTAATGGCCTCATCCGCGACGGACAGCCCAGTCCACGCCGAACGAGGGTCTTTTGTCTCCCCTTTCTTCTTGGCTTTCGGCCACGGGACCTTGTCAAGGTAGCAAATATAACACTGACTTTAGTGAGATAAACACGCCATGAGGCGACTACTAACTACCATTCAATAAAGTACTCAGTACATCCACTAAGGTCTCGGAACCTTTGACACGACACACACACAGAGTGTGTGTGTTTGCAATGGGTTAAACCGACGCGCGACCCAATTGCTCTGCACGCTGCAGAACACTTCCCCCTACGGAAAGTCCAGTGTGTTGCTGAGGGCGGTCACGGCAGGGTCTTCCTTGTTGGCCGCGACCCACTTGCGAAATACGACTGGAATGTCGTCCAGCAAATTCGCCGCAGGTTCCCAGGACGATTCGTCGAGTCCAAGCCACTTCACGATAACTTGGTGTTGGTGATCTACACAACACGCCTCGTCCGATCGCTCCACGTGAAATTGCCATCTAAACGCAGCTCCAGGTCTTCGGTCACCTCTCTACCACCTTCGTGGTACATACTTAATCGGCGCGCATGACGGACCGTGACTTCGTACGGTGGCACGAGCTGCTGAGTCTTCATGACATGGTCTGTGACGACTGAGGTCACTTGGCAGGGTCCGTGACAATGCGAGGCCAATTTTGTCCTTCGATTGATAACTCATCCGAGAAGTTCAAAATGTCGCGGCGTCCACACGCTTGCTGACACAACTTGTTACTTTGCACCGCGACGTTGCGGTGTATTTCTTCATGATTCTGACAGGCATCGTAGCCAGTCCGCGACATAAACTTCCTTGGACTTTGGGTGGATAATTCCTGCCAGCGGGGTCCTGGCAGGCCTGTAAATGCTGAAACAGGTGCAATTCCTCCCAGTCTGTCCCCCGGATGATGGTTGAGGACACCTTGAACGAGGGACAAGACATGCGGCCATTCGTCCACGTTCAGCTTCATTTCAATGAGCAGCCTTTTTATCGGCACGCAGCACTAGTCGTTTGACTACTTCAACAGTCCCCTTCGCCCAAGGACTGTAGGCCGTCGTGATGTGAAGGTGGGCACCCACCAACTTCCGCACCTTCTCGATCACTTCGTTCTTGAAGTGAGTGCCGCCATCTGAAACCCTTGTGTCAGCGCAATCAAACGTGGTAAACCACGTCATCAGAGCCTGAGCGGTCATGGCGGTGTCGGATAAATACCCCCTGTAAAGCTACGCACTCTCAGCCACGACACGCATAACTACCCAGTGAAGCTCGTCATATGGTCTGTTCTCGCGAAACTGGACATCAAGCACTACGTCCGCAAATTTACGGTCGCGAAATGATGCGCCTGATGCGATCTGAAGGATAAGCGTGGCGATCATTGTTTTCATGGACGTGTTGAGAGCACTGCAACTTGAATCGCTCTAATGCAAAAATACCTCCCTTCGTTCGCTACAGAATTGACGACACCATGTGCTCACCGTCTGTCCTTTCTGAGGCACATATCGAATTATAATGCATCTTTTGTTTCTGCTACTGGTGATTCACACGCACATGATACTCCTTTTGTGTGTGACGAACGGTGCATTCTTATTTTACATAATGCTCGCGTATACCTAAGCTCCTAAGTGCGCATGAAGTCGCACCTAAGAGGTTCTTGGGCTTCGCATCGTAGAGTGAGTGGACTGACTTGTGGCGCAGGTGGTTGCGCGGCGTCGTCAACGCGAGCGTCCTTGGATGCATGGGTGGCCGTCATTCCGCGAGCAATCATCGTCGGGGCATCTGGTCTAGGGCCACTGGAGCCAAGCGAACCGAACCGGGAGCGCTGGCACTGGGAGTGGCGTAGACAAAGGGACGAGACGAGCGAACGGCTTCATGCGGAGGCAGCATTAAACCGAGCGTCGTCAGGAGTAGCGCCATTGGCGACCGATCGATAGCCGGAGCTTTAGTTGGGCGAACCCCGTCCCTCTGTACACTCACCGCCGCCGCCGAAGCACCGACGGCTTCGGGGAGGCGAACCTCCCGTACCCTGGTTCGTGACACCTGGGGCCAAATGATACTCCTTTTAGAATGGCTATTCCTTTTGTTCAAGTTCTAAAAGCTTTGAAGCACTCGAGATGGTTCGTGGTGATATGGGAACCGAGTCGGTGTTTCCAGGGCTCATTTGGAAGCGTTTAGCTCGTCATATGTGCATTGTCGTGTGGTGCTATCCTGTGGGATGCGCGTGAAAGACATTGAAAAGCCATTTGGTGCCCGCGATACGTAAAAATTTTCAACTACAGATGACTTTTGCACGTCCAAGTGACTAATAGTTGCATGATATCATACATGGATTTGTCGTGATCTCTATTTTCTGAAAAAAAATACAGGTTGAGAGGATATTTCTATTCTCATCGTCATACTGAACGTCATATAATAGATATCGTCCCAACATCCTCACTCTTTTTGTGATAAGGAGGAAGTAGTCTTCAATCCAAGGCATGTTGCTGGCTCGTAGGAACTGCATCATGTGGGACGACGTGGTGGCCACCTCGTCCCGACGAAGGTCCTCCATGTAAGTCACGAGCTCGTCACTGTCTGGAAGGATGGGCTTATCGTACCAGTGTTCTTGTTTCTTGTCTTGGATCATTTGAACCCATCAACTTGGCCTTTTCGCGCATCCACTCACGTATTAGCCCAAAGTCAAAGAGGCGTTTTTGACACTCCTATCCTCTGCCAAGCGAACGACGCTCAGCTTTTGGGCGAGGGTTGGTCTTGCGATGCTTCGTGGTCATGGCCACGTGTTGGTGGTATGACATCCAATGTTATCAAGTCGTGGGGTTCACTTTGATTTAAATTCGGCCGGAAATTATTAACCAATCATAGTCGAGTAATTTGTTTTCTTAGTTGTGATTGGCTAGTTCAAGTATTTATTTGACAATTTCGGAAACTACACCCTTCCGGTAGCGGGATGACACTTGACGTGGCATGCGGAATCGATGTGAGTTGGTACCAGTATAGTGATTGGACTTGACTGATCATGTCACGAACTACACTATCATCTCCTGTCAAGAGGGAATCAGAAAAAACTTGAAAGCTGAGCGCGATGATGACGACGTACTTCCACGAAATGGCTCAGACGATAATATATGACAAGATGTGATACTTTACTGTTTCCATCTTGTATTGAGGATCGCTGCAAAGCAGGAGTTCATATACGTGTCAATTTAACAAAAATCATGGCCAACGGCGCGAAACGAGTATGTGGAGCATCGTGTCGAAGCAACCGAAACTGTGTAAGTTGCGTTGAAGAATGCAGTGGCTCGATGCAAGGTGAAAAATATGAAAGATAAGTATCAAGGACATAAAAAAGGTTGGTCATACCCGGACTTGAACCGGGGACCTTCTCCACGTCAAGGAGACGTGATAACCGCTACACTATAAGACCACATGATATTCAATGTACTATCTCGAAACCACACACGTCGCCCAGACTGCTGTTTGGTCTTTTTCTGTCCCGCATTTCTTCCGCATTTTGGACATTTCTACAGTTATGATTCTCGGACATTACCACTTTAAATGTAAATATACATTCCCGCTGTCGAAACCCTCGCTTGTCTCACCTAACGCAACCGCCAGCAAAGTGGGTTTACATCTTTGGATGGAAAATAGTCGTATATACGTACGACTGATGAGCCGTCCGTCGACCGATGTGTGCATATCATATCGATCCAAAATACCCAGCACTACCACTGTTTCCAAGTGACTGCCTACACGTGCCGTTTAGATGACTCCAAAGCTAATCGCCAAAATTTCGATGTGGAGTACCGTTTCGAAGCTGACTTTGGGTGACGTCTCCGTGTTTTGGGTGGGAAAAGGAGCTTATTTTTGGAAAAGTCAAATATGTTTCATTGTCCTTGGCACATACAAAACGTTAATGCAAATGGGAATCACACTGCCGATGCGGATCAAAACCGAGCTGGATACGTGCAACGCCGCCAAAAGTTGCAGTCCGTTTTGCAAACCTATTGGCGTCCACGACTCAGCATATACTGTATACTCACAAGCACGAACTACTCGAAAAATGCCGCAAGCCAAACATGCCGAATGAGTATGTCTTTCACGCGCATCTCACCGGATAGCACCACACGGCAATGCAGATGACGAGCTAAACGCTTCCAAATGAGCTCTGGAATCTTCTTGGTGAATGCGATCAGGTTTCCTCGAGGTCGTGTCTGTTGTCGACAGACGTTGCCGCAAGAGCCTATGCCGATCCATGACATTTCATGCACCCAGGGCCTTGGTGTACTGGGATTTCCTCGTGGAATATGGGGCCACGAGATTTCAGGAGTCGAACTCGCCCACCAAAATCCAATCGTGGCGTCTTGCCTGCGATAACGTTTGGGGTCTGGAAATGGAGTAAAAAACGAGAACAAATAAGTGAAATCAATCTTCGGCATACTGTGTTTGGGTGCATGCTTGCAATTTCCCCTCTGATGCTTGGTCTCCAAACTGATGCACCTTCATGGTGTCTGCCCTACACCATGTCCAACATTCGACATGTCTAGCACAGCTGTGGGATCTGTTGTATTCCACGGATGGTCAGTTCGTCACTACGTAGCGATATTTTCGATATCACTCCAATGATTTGCTTGCAGGAATGATCATTTGGATAAATACCCCCTGTAAAGCTACGCACTCTCAACCAGGACATGCATAACGACCGGGTGAAGCTCGTCATGTGACCTGTTCTCGCGAAACTGGACATCAAACACTACGTCCGCAAACTAACGGTCGCGAAATCATGCGCCTGATGCGATCTGAAGGATAAGCGTGGCGATCATTGTTTTCATGGACGTGTTGAGAGCACTGCAACTTGAATCGCTCTAATGCAAAAATACCTCCCTTCGTTCGCTACAGAATTGACGACACCATGTGCTCACCGTCTGTCCTTTCTGAGGCACATATCGAATTATAATGCATCTTTTGTTTCTGCTACTGGTGATTCACACGCACATGATACTCCTTTTGTGTGTGACGAACGGTGCATTCTTATTTTACATAATGCTCGCGTATACCTAAGCTCCTAAGTGCGCATGAAGTCGCACCTAAGAGGTTCTTGGGCTTCGCATCGTAGAGTGAGTGAGTGGACTGACTTGTGGCGCAGGTGGTTGCGCGGCGTCGTCAACGCGAGCGTCCTTGGATGCATGGGTGGCCGTCATTCCGCGAGCAATCGTTGTCGGGGCATCTTGGTCTAGGGCCACTGGAGCCAAGCGAACCGAACCGGGAGCGCTGGCACTGGGAGTGGCGTAGACAAAGGGACGAGACGAGCGAACGGCTTCATGCGGAGGCAGCATTAAACCGAGCGTCGTCAGGAGTAGCGCCATTGGCGACCGATCGATAGCCGGAGCTTTAGTTGGGCGAACCCCGTCCCTCTGTACACTCACCGCCGCCGCCGAAGCACCGACGGCTTCGGGGAGGCGAACCTCCCGTACCCTGGTTCGTGACACCTGGGGCCAAATGATACTCCTTTTAGAATGGCTATTCCTTTTGTTCAAGTTCTAAAAGCTTTGAAGCACTCGAGATGGTTCGTGGTGATATGGGAACCGAGTCGGTGTTTCCAGGGCTCATTTGGAAGCGTTTAGCTCGTCATATGTGCATTGTCGTGTGGTGCTATCCTGTGGGATGGGTAAAAAATTTCGACTACAGATGACTTTTGCACGTCCAAGTGACTAATAGTTGCATGATATCATACATGGCTTTGTCGTGATCTCTGTTTTCTGAAAAAAAATACAGGTTGAGAGGATATTTCTATTCTCATCGTCATACTGAACGTCATATAATAGATATCGTCCCAACATCCTCACTCTTTTTGTGATAAGGAGGAAGTAGTCTTCAATCCAAGGCATGTTGCTGGCTCGTAGGAACTGCATCATGTGGGACGACGTGGTGGCCACCTCGTCCCGACGAAGGTCCTCCATGTAAGTCACGAGCTCGTCACTGTCTGGAAGGATGGGCTTATCGTACCAGTGTTCTTGTTTCTTGTCTTGGATCATTTGAACCCATCAACTTGGCCTTTTCGCGCATCCACTCACGTATTAGCCCAAAGTCAAAGAGGCGTTTTTGACACTCCTATCCTCTGCCAAGCGAACGACGCTCAGCTTTTGGGCGAGGGTTGGTCTTGCGATGCTTCGTGGTCATGGCCACGTGTTGGTGGTATGACATCCAATGTTATCAAGTCGTGGGGTTCACTTTGATTTAAATTCGGCCGGAAATTATTAACCAATCATAGTCGAGTAATTTGTTTTCTTAGTTGTGATTGGCTAGTTCAAGTATTTATTTGACAATTTCGGAAACTACACCCTTCCGGTAGCGGGATGACACTTGACGTGGCATGCGGAATCGATGTGAGTTGGTACCAGTATAGTGATTGGACTTGACTGATCATGTCACGAACTACACTATCATCTCCTGTCAAGAGGGAATCAGAAAAAACTTGAAAGCTGAGCGCGATGATGACGACGTACTTCCACGAAATGGCTCAGACGATAATATATGACAAGATGTGATACTTTACTGTTTCCATCTTGTATTGAGGATCGCTGCAAAGCAGGAGTTCATATACGTGTCAATTTAACAAAAATCATGGCCAACGGCGCGAAACGAGTATGTGGAGCATCGTGTCGAAGCAACCGAAACTGTGTAAGTTGCGTTGAAGAATGCAGTGGCTCGATGCAAGGTGAAAAATATGAAAGATAAGTATCAAGGACATAAAAAAGGTTGGTCATACCCGGACTTGAACCGGGGACCTTCTCCACGTCAAGGAGACGTGATAACCGCTACACTATAAGACCACATGATATTCAATGTACTATCTCGAAACCACACACGTCGCCCAGACTGCTGTTTGGTCTTTTTCTGTCCCGCATTCCTTCCGCATTTTGGACATTTCTACAGTTATGATTCTCGGACATTACCACTTTAAATGTAAATATACATTCCCGCTGTCGAAACCCTCGCTTGTCTCACCTAACGCAACCGCCAGCAAAGTGGGTTTACATCTTTGGATGGAAAATAGTCGTATATACGTACGACTGATGAGCCGTCCGTCGACCGATGTGTGCATATCATATCGATCCAAAATACCCAGCACTACCACTGTTTCCAAGTGACTGCCTACACGTGCCGTTTAGATGACTCCAAAGCTAATCGCCAAAATTTCGATGTGGAGTACCGTTTCGAAGCTGACTTTGGGTGACGTCTCCGTGTTTTGGGTGGGAAAAGGAGCTTATTTTTGGAAAAGTCAAATATGTTTCATTGTCCTTGGCACATACAAAACGTTAATGCAAATGGGAATCACACTGCCGATGCGGATCAAAACCGAGCTGGATACGTGCAACGCCGCCAAAAGTTGCAGTCCGTTTTGCAAACCTATTGGCGTCCACGACTCAGCATATACTGTATACTCACAAGCACGAACTACTCGAAAAATGCCGCAAGCCAAACATGCCGAATGAGTATGTCTTTCACGCGCATCTCACCGGATAGCACCACACGGCAATGCAGATGACGAGCTAAACGCTTCCAAATGAGCTCTGGAATCTTCTTGGCGAATGCGATTCAGGTTTCCTCGAGGTCGTGTCTGTTGTCGACAGACGTTGCCGCAAGAGCCTATGCCGATCCATGACATTTCATGCACCCAGGGCCTTGGTGTACTGGGATTTCCTCGTGGAATATGGGGCCACGAGATTTCAGGAGTCGAACTCGCCCACCAAAATCCAATCGTGGCGTCTTGCCTGCGATAACGTTTGGGGTCTGGAAATGGAGTAAAAAACGAGAACAAATAAGTGAAATCAATCTTCGGCATACTGTGTTTGGGTGCATGCTTGCAATTTCCCCTCTGATGCTTGGTCTCCAAACTGATGCACCTTCATGGTGTCTGCCCTACACCATGTCCAACATTCGACATGTCTAGCACAGCTGTGGGATCTGTTGTATTCCACGGATGGTCAGTTCGTCACTACGTAGCGATATTTTCGATATCACTCCAATGATTTGCTTGCAGGAATGATCATTTGGATAAATACCCCCTGTAAAGCTACGCACTCTCAACCAGGACATGCATAACGACCGGGTGAAGCTCGTCATGTGACCTGTTCTCGCGAAACTGGACATCAAACACTACGTCCGCAAACTAACGGTCGCGAAATCATGCGCCTGATGCGATCTGAAGGATAAGCGTGGCGATCATTGTTTTCATGGACGTGTTGAGAGCACTGCAACTTGAATCGCTCTAATGCAAAAATACCTCCCTTCGTTCGCTACAGAATTGACGACACCATGTGCTCACCGTCTGTCCTTTCTGAGGCACATATCGAATTATAATGCATCTTTTGTTTCTGCTACTGGTGATTCACACGCACATGATACTCCTTTTGTGTGTGACGAACGGTGCATTCTTATTTTACATAATGCTCGCGTATACCTAAGCTCCTAAGTGCGCATGAAGTCGCACCTAAGAGGTTCTTGGGCTTCGCATCGTAGAGTGAGTGGACTGACTTGTGGCGCAGGTGGTTGCGCGGCGTCGTCAACGCGAGCGTCCTTGGATGCATGGGTGGCCGTCATTCCGCGAGCAATCATCGTCGGGGCATCTGGTCTAGGGCCACTGGAGCCAAGCGAACCGAACCGGGAGCGCTGGCACTGGGAGTGGCGTAGACAAAGGGACGAGACGAGCGAACGGCTTCATGCGGAGGCAGCATTAAACCGAGCGTCGTCAGGAGTAGCGCCATTGGCGACCGATCGATAGCCGGAGCTTTAGTTGGGCGAACCCCGTCCCTCTGTACACTCACCGCCGCCGCCGAAGCACCGACGGCATCGGGGAGGCGAACCTCCCGTACCCTGGTTCGTGACACCTGGGGCCAAATGATACTCCTTTTAGAATGGCTATTCCTTTTGTTCAAGTTCTAAAAGCTTTGAAGCACTCGAGATGGTTCGTGGTGATATGGGAACCGAGTCGGTGTTTCCAGGGCTCATTTGGAAGCGTTTAGCTCGTCATATGTGCATTGTCGTGTGGTGCTATCCTGTGGGATGCGCGTTAAAGACATTGAAAAGCCTTTTGGTGCCCGCGATACGTAAAAATTTTCAACTACAGATGACTTTTGCACGTCCAAGTGACTAATAGTTGCATGATATCATACATGGCTTTGTCGTGATCTCTGTTTTCTGAAAAAACATACAGGTTGAGAGGATATTTCTATTCTCTTCGTCATACTGAACGTCATATAATAGATATCGTCCCAACATCCTCACTCTTTTTGTGATAAGGAGGAAGTAGTCTTCAATCCAAGGCATGTTGCTGGCTCGTAGGAACTGCATCATGTGGGACGACGTGGTGGCCACCTCGTCCCGACGAAGGTCCTCCATGTAAGTCACGAGCTCGTCACTGTCTGGAAGGATGGGCTTATCGTACCAGTGTTCTTGTTTCTTGTCTTGGATCATTTGAACCCATCAACTTGGCCTTTTCGCGCATCCACTCACGTATTAGCCCAAAGTCAAAGAGGCGTTTTTGACACTCCTATCCTCTGCCAAGCGAACGACGCTCAGCTTTTGGGCGAGGGTTGGTCTTGCGATGCTTCGTGGTCATGGCCACGTGTTGGTGGTATGACATCCAATGTTATCAAGTCGTGGGGTTCACTTTGATTTAAATTCGGCCGGAAATTATTAACCAATCATAGTCGAGTAATTTGTTTTCTTAGTTGTGATTGGCTAGTTCAAGTATTTATTTGACAATTTCGGAAACTACACGAGCAGCTGCACAAAGCCACTCATGTCGTCCTTCACGACAAGCGCTTGTTTTTTGCCAGACTTGGCCATGGCCATCGACAATCAGTCGAAATGGATGAGCTCGTCCGGCTTTTTTCGCGTGAAGCGACGAACCCAATGGACTGGGAACCATTTCTCTGTCAATGCAGAGGCAGTGCAAACAGACACACACGCACGTTTCGACGTCCGTGGAAAGCGTCGTCCACACAAACTTGTCGGATGCCGACTTGGTCGTCGCTGCGATGCGACGGTGACCGCTGGCTCCTTGGTGAGCGATCACACCAATCCGCTGCTGCAGGTCAACAGCACCGTCTGGGATCCAGATTCGCCCCTCTGGGTCCACGTAAAAATGGGAGTCATCCCAATCCACGCCGTTTGAGGGGATCCCTCCCCGTTTCATGGTTGAAGGTTAGATGCCGCTGATCGTAGCGGCTGTCGGTCACTCGAAATCCACTTCTTGCAGCACGACACCACAGGATCAACTTGCGAACATTCGCAACTGGTTGGTCCGTCGAAGCCGAACCCATTCGGCTCAGGAGGTTAACCCTTACATTCGCGTCACCCGAGACGCACTCAATTGTGTACGGGAAAGCCGATATCACCAGCAACCATCGCTAAAGCTTGTCCGCCAGGTACTTTGCCATCTTGGCGTTTGTGCCACTTGGGTTGAAAATGTACACCAGGGCGTACGACCAGGTAGTCGAGTCTCTTGCATGACTCGACCACTGCATAGCCCTTCTTCTCGACGATAGATCAGCTGCACTCGCGCCAGAAAGCGACCCACTAATGAACGCAACCGGCTGGTGCCGCAGGTCTTCGAGAGGCAAGTCCAGGTCTGCAGACGGTACTTGTTTGGTGGCCGTACCCCCTAAACAGGTCACTGGCGTCCGTGAAAATGCCTGCCAATAGCGTTTTGGCTTCGCCAAGCGAAACCGTGCCACACGGTGACTCATTTCACCGCACTTCAAGCAGCCTTCTTGGTAGGTGGCCCGGCGGTCTTGGGCATTGATCGCCTCGACCTTTCCGGCGACTCTGCCATTATTCTTGGCGACATCTTCCCGGCCACCTTCACGTCTTGGAACTTCAACCGGCCTCGCTGCAGGTGAAGGTTTACACTCGTCATCGAGTCCAACGTACAGCTGAGTCCAACGTACAGCTGCTGCCCACATGCAAAGGTTCGCAGCCGGTTACCGTAACGGAAGACGTCGCTCTTCAACGCTTTGAATAGCTCTCTTCAGAGATTCCGGCTTGATCGACTTCGTCATGACTTCGACGACGATCTTGCCTTCTTGATGGAGATGGTCTTGCTCCAACGAGCGCATCAACTCGTCCAACATACGACCAACGCGGGACTCCGCATCCAAGAGCTTCGTATTGAAACGAATAGCTCACCGCATAAGTTGCTTCAAAACGACTTAAGGGTATTCCTCAAACGCTGACTTGAACCATGCGACCCACTCATCGTTTGTGATGGAATTATAGTCGCGGTTGAAATGGAACAGCGTAATCCAGCGCATCGAGAATGGGTCTATCCAGGCACTCACGGACATCGAGTACCGACGCGATAAATTACACTGCAGGGCGTTGCTCTGTCCCAGATATTTCTGGTACTCGCAGATTATAGCGCGTCTTTCCGCCTTTGTCGAGCCCTAAACGTTCAGTGACTGCGATATCACCGGGGCGTTCCAAACTTGCCGCGCAATTCGTCCGTATCCGCCATCGCTGCCCATCCACACAGGCCCACATCCCAGTGCCTGGGATGTGGGCACCGTACATGAGCGAGCGGGTGCCGTGCTGGGGCAACGCATGCAGGCGCTGGTTCCATGCTACCTGGTCGTCCTTGCATCTGTTCAGGCGCCCACTTTCAGTGTGCTTCCTACAAGAATCGCAATAAGGTTAACATCGTCGGTCGGCGAGGTTGGCACATGCCGAAGGACGACTGCCGCCATGGCCAATGCTGACAGTCATCCGTCACCATACAAACGTCACATGCAGTCGCGTCGATGAGTTACACAAGATAGGACTCATGGACTCACTCTAACTTAGCGTTGAGCGGCGCTTTGCGCTATGTGGGGCCGCGAGGACACACACCTATACTTGGCCGACATGGCGTCATGCCATTGCAACCAGGTAATACTAAACGTGTTGGGAATTGTATGCACATGAAAATGTATTACTGATAGTATGCTGGCCAGAACTCTAACCAATCGGTCAAATATGACGAATAATCTGACTTTAGCGCGCCGGATAGCGTCGACGCTAGAATTTAGAGTCCCGCGGTGGGAGAATTAAACCCTAAAATATGACTGAAAAAATACAGTTTTGGAGTTTTAGCGCCACGAGTGGGGATGCTCTTAGTGGCCACGATTAGGCTCCTTACTGAACGTTGCAACGGTCTCAGATTCGGTGCCACCACGTTCGATTTGACAGTAGACGCTCGTTTTAGATTTTACGACTCAAGCAACCTGCGATCTGTAGATTTTACTTGTCGTGTTTGAAGTTATCAAAGTGCTTGAATAGTAGCGCTGCACCTTTTTAACCATGAACTCAGTGAGTTGTTCTTCAATAGTAATGCAGACAAGTGCAGGTTTGTGTACTACCGGCAGTTTCTATTGGTGATGTCAAGCAGTTCACAGTTAACGTTATCCTAAAGTTGCAAAGTTGCGTTTGCTAAACGTTTTGCAATACTGGTGTGCTACGTTGCACTAGTAGTTGCGTAAGAGGTCTCCGAATTGTAGCCATCGGATTTGACTGCATGTACTACGTGTTTGTTTATATAACCCAGTAAACTAACCTACTCGGGGGCTACAAATACTTCAGTACGCGTTTCCTCGTCGAATGTTCGCGTACCATCTCCAATGAATAGCAAAACAATGAACTAAAGATATACTTCCTCCGTTCCTTTTTACTTGCATGACTTTTACCATCAAGAATTTGTATAGAGGTTTGTATGCAAAACCAAGACATTTCGACGTGTTCAATATATTTTTATTCAATATCCATCATTTACGACGAACACTTGCATGACATGTTACACTACTACAGTGGCTTCAAGAAGTTCCACCAGCTCATCAATTCTCTGAGAGGGCTTCCGATCCAGAGACACGAAGACCAGCACCCATAAGTTCCACAATATTATCGACACGTTGCTCGTCCTCTACTGGGAAAGGCGGAATGCAACGCCCACCCTAATTTCGAGTTGATACAATATACAGCTGTCCTATTGGCTGATTAACTACGAAGTTCGACCTAATTTATAGCCAATCAAGAAACATGAAATAGAAAATGCAACTTCGACAGGATATTAAATTACACATTTTGAATCACCGAATGCAGCATTCAATAGCTAGTACAGTGAAACTGATTAGAAGAGGTTATGAGTACCTGAAGGATTTCCGATTAACATTTTTATTGATTTTCATTATTTAAATTATAGCCAATGAGAGTCACCAATTTTGATACTTGAGTATGATTGGATAACTCAAAGTGTGACACACAAATATCTTCGGTGGGCGTTGCATTCCGTCCTTCCCAGTATACGTCTCTCCATGGAGTCAATGGCCAACAAAACCTCTTCGTCACATGACGGGTGCAATTCCCGAACCCCCGCTTCATCTGCACGTCCTTCTTGAGGTGGGGGATCTTGTAAATGTT